CCCTTCCAGCCCTAATGTCTATGAAATCTATGAAATAATTATCTTTAATTTTAAAGGCAACTTATAACTTTTTAAAGAATTGTATGTAGTCAATATCTTATTCAGTCTACTAAGTAGCTGAAATATTAACACACCTTTAGTGAAGGTTTCTGTTTTTCCATGTTTAAAAACCTCACCTGAAGTCTCATCAGCTAAAATATAGCAAATTAAATCTTGTTTGTGGTAATATGCCAGCTGTTGAGTCCTTCTGGCAGTTCATTGTGGTTTTAGAACATTTTTCCCATTTAAAACTACTTCTTTTCTCCCTCATCATCACGTAAAGGGCCAACAAAGGTATATAGGGAAAAAGGAGCTGATAATATGTACGAAGCGTGTTAAATATGTGAAGTAAATAAGAAAAAAAACCAAAACGCCTTTTCCAAAAATACTTGAAAATCCTAATTAAAAGAAATGGCACTAAAAAGCTGATATATTTTCCCAGACAAAAGGCTTATTTTTTCTTTTAAACTGACACTTTGCTTAAGTCCAACTTAGTGTTCCTTTTCTAAAAACAGTAACGTGGGCAAAAATCAAAGACAAGACTCTACAAGTGGATTTGACAGTATACTGACAGTGGCTTATAGCTATAGTCACACCTTCAGAGAGGTGGAACATATATACAGTAAAATGAAGTGTATTTTGCCACATGTAAGTGAAGCTTGTTCGTATAAAAAAACCCACACATCTGACAAAATCCCATATTACTGGCCATTTCTGTTTAAGAAGCCAAGATAAGGACCACAGCAATGCAACAGATATTAAGAAAGCATAGAGTCTGGACAATCTTCATGTGGAGCTGGCTGAAGTCACTGCAGAACCCCTAGCGAAACTCTTCCACAACTCATGGCGCTTAGAAATCCCTGAGGACTGGAAGAGGGCCAAAGTTGTGCTCATCCACAAGAAGGGCAGGAGGAAGACTCAGGTAACTATAGGTCAAACAACCTAACTTCCATCCTAGGGAAAATCCTAGAAAAGTTCATCAAGGAGTCGAGTCTATCCGCAATGTTGGCAGAAAGTAAAATTCTGAATGACAGCTAGCATGGCTTCATTGCAGGCAGGTCTTGCCTGACCAACCTAATCCCCTTCTATGGTGAGGTAACTTGCCACCTGGACACAAGACAGTAAGCTGACATTGTATACCTTGACTTCCAAAAGGCCTTTGATCTCATATTGCCTAATGTCCTCATGAGAAAAATCAGAGGATTATGGGCTTAACTCCAAGAGAGTCAGGTGGGTGAGAAACTGGCTGCAGGATAAAAACCAGAGTCATAGTGAATGGATCTGTATCATCCTGGTGAGAAGTGGGCAACAGTGTCCCACAGGGGTCAGTGCTCAGTGCAGTACTTTTCAACATCGTTATTAATGATTTGGATGTGGGGGTGAGCAGCTCACTGGCCAAGTTTGCAGACAACACCAAGTTATGGGGGAGCGTGGTCATACTTTAAGATAGGCTGCAGATATAGGCAGACCTAGACAAGTTAGCAAATTGGGTGGATTGGAATCTGATGAAGTTCAACGTTGAGAAATGTAAAGTGCTCCAACTTGGGACAAGCAATCTCCAACACACCTACAGGCTTGGCAGCACCAAACTGACTAGCACCATGAATGAAAGGGACCTGGGGGTAATAACAGACCACAGTATGAATATGAGCTGGCAGTGCGATGCTGTAGCCAGTAAGGCAAATAGTACCCTGGCATGCATCAATCAATGCATCTCCAGGAAAACCAAGGTGATTCTTCTGCTCTACATGGCACTGATGAGACTGCAGCTGGAGTACTGCGTCCAGTTCTGGGCACCACACTTTAACAAGGATGTGGACAAGCTTGAGAGAGTCCAAAGAAGAGCCACTCGTACGATCAGTCTTAAAAGGCAAGCCATATGAGGAAAGGCTGAACGATCTAAGGCTCTTCAGTCTGAAGAAAAGAAGGCTGAGTTGGGACTTGGTAGCAGCCTAGCGCCCCACTAGGGGAGTACATCAAGGGCTCAGTGAGCAACTGTTCACCAGGGCACCCGAGGGGAAAACCAGGAGTAATGGCCAAACTCCTAGAAATCGATTCAAGCTCAACATTAGGAAAAACCTCTTCACAGTCAGGCTGTCCAAACTGTGGAAAAAGCTCCCTCCAGAGATGGTGCGATCACCTACCCTGGAAGTCTTCAAAAGGAAACTAGTCAGTCACCCAGCTAAGGTCA